TCTGAGCACACGCAGCACGTATTATCCAAGTTTTCGTCAGAATCCGACCGCTGCTGCTTCCTTGATTTCGATTTACTGCTCGTCGAAGGCTGCGGTTCTGTTTGTGTGGCATTTTTTTTGGGCCGGCCTCTCTTTCTCGGCGCAGTGGCAGGTGTAGATTTTGACGTTTTTCTCGTAGCAGGTTTTCCTTTTTTTTTCCGCATGGACTCCGCCTGCTCAGCCGCCAATTCCGCCATTTCAGGCGAGTCAGTAAGAACGGCGCTCTTTCTTCGTTTTCGTCCTTTACGTGTCTGTTGCCTCGGAGCGGCTTTAGGAAATGCTCGAATACTTTGAAGCGTCGCGCTCAAGTTCTGTGTATCACCAGGACGAGACATGGAAGAAGCCGAGGGATCGAATTCGTTCTGATCGGCTGTGTCGGGTTCGATTGTCTCCAAATTGGTTGTGTCCGAGTCGGCTGTGTCCGGGTCGGCTGCGTTGAGGTTGACTTCTTCGAGATGAGCGGAAGTAGAAGGCATCTCCCTATCCGTAACACTGCTCGGCAAAAATTCGTATTCCTGGAAAATGTCCGGGTTGAGTGGAGAAATTCCAGTGCATTCAAACCCGGACACAATATTTTGATACGTTACGGCAAGTGGCAGTGATTTAGCCACGATTCCGGGGATATCGTATATCGTCATTGATCTACCAGAATGCGACGACATCCAGCTATCACACTGTGTGTGTACACTTTTCTTTAACGGGCCAAAGACGGTGCGATCCAGCGGTTGCATTTTGTGCGAGCAATGCGGCGGTAATGATAGGAGAATGATTCCATTCGCTTTACAAAATTCGAGACCAGCGATGGACAAATGTGATTCGTGATTGTCGAGTATCAGTAAAGCTGGGGCGTCGACGGAAGCACGCACATGGGACTGGAAGAACTGTAGAAACTGGACAAAATGGTCCGCATTCATCCAACCACTTGAATTCGCTACACCTGTGCAGCCTGATGGTCCGCCGTTAAGGAAATGTTCCTTGAAATTTTTACGAGGAAAAATAAAAAATGGAGGTAAAGAATGTCCGGTTGCTGACACCGCCATCGCCAAAGTTACGAAGGTTCCTCTTTCCGCAGAAGTCACTCGCCCGACTTGTTTCATTCCTCGACGTCCGATGACTCTATTCGGTGTCTGAACGGTTGTAATTCCCGTCTCATCCATATTCCATATGCAGTGAGGCTAGAAATAATGAGAAACGTTATTTTCGACCAAAACTAGCAACATTTATTCATCAGTTAACACACCTGGAAATGATGTTTATCCATCACAGATTTTAGCAGCGCAAAGAACCTTTCTACATTTGTTCGATTGAAACTGGTGGCACGTGCTAAACTTGTCGCTTCTGGTTTGCGTATGGATAACATTGGATGTCGTTTGAGAAAGCTGCTTAGCCAATCTTCACCGGCCATGCGAGCGGCTTCCCACGATGCCGGTACCTTCAGATTCAATTTTTTGGCTAAATCAAAGGCTAAACCACGGGTTTCCTTCGCAGTTAGCCCAAAGTACATATCGTTGCAATGTAACTAAGTATTCCACCAAAGTCTTTTCAGTTTCAGAGTCCATAACCTACATTTGAAATTAAGACGTTGCATGAATATAAACTTTGCTGAGCAGAGTGCATGCTTTTAAAAATTAATTTTTAAGAATTAAGGTAATTCTTCAGTTTAGCTACAGCAGCACAAAAAACAATGAATTTAGGCTCATTCGACGCGTTTTTGCACGAAACGACCGAATCTGGCAGAAAAAAGTGTCGCTCTGCCCCGCGACGCGAGATATTAATCGTTAAAGTTGACAGGAATCAGGTTATGATTCCTGTCATACCGACGACATGTAGCAACACTGAACGTGCCCTGCGGCCACATGCGCATGCTCAGTGGTCGCACGCGCATGTAAAACTGCGCCAATTTTAAATGAATCAATCGTGCAGAATAACCAAGCATCTCGATTCAAGCAGTTAGGTCTCACGCTGGGAGTTTCATTAGTTTAATTATGCGTGGGAAGCACACACACACACACACACACAACGGGGGGGTGCGAGGGGGGGCCTTCGGCCCCCCCCCTCCCCCGCACCCACCCCGCCGGTAGGCTGCGTGGACCTCGCTTTACAACATAAAGTACATGCTAAGTTGTAAAACGAAATTATAAAGCACATGCATGGGGGAGGGTGCAGGGGAGAAAAACCGACATTCGCAAATCTAGTATAGAATTTTCAACTAATCGATACTTTATCGACATGTTAAGTCAGTTTGGCGACCTTGTTAAGACTTTTAGTCAATATAGGTACAATTTTGCCTACAGTGGTATACTACTTAGTTTGCAAAAGTCTGAAAAAGTTCATTATTTTATACGAGAAGACAAATCTTAGTAGAATTTATCGCACCTTTTACTACGTAAAGTTTGATATAGTGTGGAACGCTGACTTCGCCATTTTCATCCCTCAAAGAGGAAGGCAAATAATCCGCCATTTTCCAGTATATTTAGATTTATATTTTTTAACGCACTTTACTAACAATTTAAAGCATTTATATAATATCTGTTGTTAAGGTTTTGACAACATATTTATCTTAAAAGTAATTTTGATGAAAAAAAATTAAAATCTACACTTTGAAAATTTTAGTTATTTATTAGAATATTTAGTAAATTGGAATATTTTAGAAGGGATTCGTCTAATTTCGACCTATCATTTCCACATTTATCAATAAAGTGGGTTTCGTTATACATTTTCAGTGCTGGGTTCGTGTATTTATGGCAAAATTACAATAGTATCAAAGACTGCGCAAACTATATTTTTCCTATAAAGCCATTTTATTTGTGCCAAATTGATAAGTACGTATTATGATACATTTATTACACCAATGCCGTCATATGGTTTGAATGGAAGCACGAAAACTACACCTAAAATGTATGTACGTTGTGAAAAAATAACCTCAGGTCTAGCAGAGTGTACAAAATCAAAGTTTACATACCAACGTTAAAACTGGTGGAAAAAATGTAACCTCAATTTAACTTATATAAGTCGGATTCCAACGTTGGTACAACCTAAATTTGATTCCCCAAATTAGTGCAAAAGAGGGTTGAAACGACGTAGCGAAAACGTTGGATACCAATGTTAAGTGTGTTTATCTTAACGTCGGGCGGACGTCAAAATGCTGCTTGGGTAAAGAAAGAATTAGAAGTTTGCTATTTGAGCCGCAAAAACACAACACACTTACAACTAGAGTTTAATACACTCAAGCAAAAACCCGGAGAAAGTGCAAGAGCATTCGGCTTAAGAGCCGATAAGCTAGCAATGAAGCTATA